TAAAAAATACTTAATGAAACTTTTTATGTTATTTTATTAAAAATATTTTAATAAATTTATAAAATATACTATATTTTTAATATATAATATTAAAAAATATAAATCTCTTACTGAAATTTCATTAATGAATAAATATGAATAACGTGTTTATTAAAGGTATCTTTGGTAATTTACATCATCCAAATCGCACAGTAAGGAATTTGGCTAAGTTAAGGAAAAAGCAAAGATAATACATTTTAATATTAAAGAAATCAATTCATTTAATAATAATTATATAATAAATTTAATCCCTGACTTTTTACGTCAAACGAATACAAGTTGTATTAAACAATGCACCTTTTAATTTTAGAGTTGGGTTGGAATCCCCTTCAAAAAAATGCTGTAATTTATTAAAAAAATTATATAATAAATTTAATTAAAAAATTCCTATGAAAAAAATGTATGGATAAGGGATAATTCAATAGTAATTTATGGAAATGGAATAAGATTAGGGATAAAAAAAATTCCTTTCGTACAATTAATATAAAAAAAACTTATTTTATAACTACACATTTAATAATTATAATCATGATTAAATATCTTAATATCTTTAATGTTACAGAGCCTTGATTTTCACTTTCTCTTTTACAAGCAAAAATAAAATGTGAAGAGACGCAACGGGAAGATAGCGTACAAAGTGGACTCAAAGGAGGGCTTAGCCGCGGACACCTATCCTCTCGTGGGGCTTCTTCTCTAGGCCATTCTCCTCCACCCCTGCCTTTCCACACTGATTCATCGTTCTAGACTCTACTTTGGGTAAGTAGGAGATCTTGCCATAAATTTCGATATTCCAGTTTAAGACATCTGGGCTATAAATTGTTACTTGTCTTAGATATCCATATTCACCATTTTTGTTTACCTTTCTTCTCGTTTCTGATTTTTATTTATTTATTTTTTCGCTGTCTTTAGTTGGATTGGATTGTTTCTTTTGTATGAGTTGTTTCTGGGTATGGTGGGTTGCAGTTCCTGCTGTATCCCCAATAATAAAGTTCTTTTTATTGGCTGATAAAATTACTTTCATACAGTATAAGAAATGTATTATCTGTTTGATTTTCACCTTTGTAACATTATTTAAACGAACTCAAGACTACACAAGTTAACCCACAATTTTTTTTTAAAAAAAAAACAAAAATATAGAATGTTAAGATTAATGAACTTAAAATTTT